AGTGCCATTCCACATGTAATCAACATATTGCACAACTGAGATTGTAGTTCGAGGGCAACATCGAAATCTTGCTCACCTGACACGATGTCATCCATGTAGACATCTCGTAATATGGTTTTAGAGACCAGAGGACAGCTTTCTGCTTCATCGTGAGCCAACTGCTTAAGAGTTTTTACCGCAAGAAACGGAGCACTGGCAGTCCCGTAAGTCACTGTTTTCAGTCTGTAGGTGACTGGCATTTCATCTTCCTCGTTCTTCCAAACAATTCTTAAGAGATCTCGTTGCGCAGGCTCAATTAGAATTTGACGAAACATTTTCTGGATATCTGTTGTAAATGCGTACTTGTATTTTCGAAATCCTGTCATAATCTCGAAAACATCTTCCTTTACTTCACCTTTCAAGAGATGATCATAGTCGATATAAGTAGTGTTGACCCTTGAGTTGGTTTATTTTTGAGTATTTAAAGTAAGATGCAATTGTATACAAATGCACATATACTCACTTGGGGTTTATTTAGTCTTGGAAACGTATGAATTGCATGCTAATAATAAGGTCCAAGGACTTTTTATTTACCTGATATGTATTTTATATATAATAATAATATTAATACATCACACACAGTACACAAAACATTTAGGCTTTACTTCACCTTTCAAGAGATGATCATTTAGGCTCAGTCCAGCAGTTGTGGGAGCAGATGCGATGAAGAGTACTCTTAACTTTGTAGTGGTTTTGTCTGGTCTGAACACACCATGATGCGAAAGGTAATAACATATGGGGTTTGCTGTCTGATCAGCAGAACGCTCCTGCACCTTTTCCATATGGCCCAAATCCAAATACTCCTTCATAAAATTCTGATATAACTCCTTTAATTGATTGTCCCTTGATAGTCTCTTCCACAGTTGATTCAATCTCCTCAATGCTAATTTCCTTCACTTTCCCAAGTTTTGTATGTCCTTGGTTGCCATCTGCACAATGTATCTCCCGTCCTCATTACGTCTGTGAGTTCTTTGATAATGATCTTCGAAATACTCCTCTTCTTTACTCATCAAACTTGGAGCATCTGTTAGAGTCTCTATTTGCCAGAACCTCTGTAAACATTTATCGACTGACTCTGGCTCTGATATTCGTGCATAATATTAGATCTTGATTATTAGATTCTGTTGATCCAGTTGCGATGTATCCAAAAACTGTGTTGCGAAAAATGTTAGGTTATTATTGCACGTTGGACGAATTTGATCGTTCTTAACTATTTCAAAGAATGTTTCAGCTCCAATAAGCATGTCAATCTTGCCTGATGTAGCAAATCTTGGATCAGCTAACTGACGTGGAATTTCTGTTTTGCTAATGTGTAGAGAGGAAACAGGGAGTAAATCCGTGATTCTTGGCACCACTAAGAATTCTAGCTTCTTAGAAAAAGATCCATTGCTGTTTATTATTCTGGCAGGCAGCTTAAACTTGACCGAAGTTTTATTTCCACTTATACTGGAGACTGTGAGATCGATTCTTTCTTGCGGGGTACCCAGACAACTTGCGAAATCTCTAGTAACGATATTTGACATACTGCTTGAGTCTAATTCTGCGCGTGCTTGAATGCTGGCTCCGGTAGTATGATTTAAAACCCAAACCATGGCTGTCGAGAGAATTACTGTCTTATTTCCATTGTCAATGCATGACAGTGAATGAGGTATACTTTCACGAAACTCTATTGCTTCGGGATTAAGGTCTTGCTTGATTGGAGTCGGTTTGCTGTCGACCACTGACACATTTGAACCAATCATAGCTTGTTTCTCTCGCTGCAGTAATGTATTATGTCGCTTTCGGCATATCATACAGCAGCTCTTGAAGTTGCAATTGGATAACTTATGCCGATCACTTAAGCAATTAAAACAGAGGTTGTTTTTGGCCACAACATCGTTTCTTTGGGAAGCTTCCAGTCGTAAAAAGGAATCACAATTGTAAACAGAATGATTTTGCTTACATAAAATGCAATGAGGCATAGAAATGCTACATTTCACGAACAAGCTTTTCGGTTTAACTCTATGTTGACTGCACCTTGGTTTCACGAACGTGGTCTTATTAATATTTTCTAAAATCTGAGAACGCTTTTCCAAAAATGAAATTAAATTATCTAGTTTAGGAACGTCATTCGAACTGATACTGAACTCATACTGTTTTAGAGTCTCCTTATCAAGCTTCTGAAGTAGGATATTTAAAATTAAGATATGAGAAAGCTCATTCCTTTCATATCCTAGGACTTTTAGTGCTCGCATATTCCTATTGATGCTATGAATTAAACTCCTCAAACCCCTTCCTGACTCATAAGGTAATTTTACAGAGTCCAGAATCGCATTAACATGGGTTTCTACTATTAATTTCTTGTTTTCGTACCTTTCTTGTAGCGCTTGAAACAATGAAGCAAACGAATCGTTTAACGTTTCTAAACTCTTAGCTTCCCCTATGAGAGCAGCCTTCAAATAATGTAGTTTTTGTTCTGCCGACAGTTGCTCGCTTGACGTAATGATATTATCAAATTGCATTTTAAAGTTACTCCATTCTTCATATCTTCCAGAGAATTTTGGTAGAGGAATCTCCGGCAACTTAATATTAGCGGAGTTATTTCGAACTACGGGGCCCTGTGTCACCGTGACCACGGACGAATCTGCTTCTAATCGTTTAATACGAGACTGGATCTTAAATTTACAACTTATAATTTTGTCCTCATATTCTTCACTATTGACTATCTCAGTGTCATAATCAGTTGGGCTAGTAATGAAACCCTCAATCTCCCCGTCTAAGGTTCTCAATGACTCTTCCTTTCGACTCAACTGATCCAGTATTTCTAGATGAGTTTCTGTCTCTCTATCGTCGCTTTCAATTAGACTATCGATTTTACTAATTAATTTCGTCACACTAGCTCTTCTTGAAGCGCGTTTTTTCTTTAATTTCTCGAGTTGATTTATTTTAAACTGTCTACTACGTATAACGAACAGATAAATTCCTCCTACCTTGGATAGGTGACTTAATGAAGTTTGACCCAATCTTATTTGCTCGAGAAGTTGTCTCTCTTTTCTTCTTGATCCGCCTCGACAAACCAGATGTTTGCCGATCTTTAATGGACTGTAAAAATATGAAAGTACTGCGGTTTTGCAAAAAATAACGTTTAATGCGGAATGAAACACTGATACAAAATGGCTGCTACAAATGACCGTTACAGAACTACAGTAGAGCGTCGTTTATCCGAAAGTCGGTTATTCGAAACGTCAATTATCTGAAGGATTCCAGTCAGCAAATTTAAGTTTTTGCTGGTACTGTGACGCTGCAATTTTGGCTATATCTTGGGCTACCCCAATATTTTTTTTGTTGGTGTGTGTATTTTAGTTGACAGCACTGGCACTTTTGTGTGGTGTTTTTCTGAGGACTGTGTGTGGTGCTGAATCAAGCGTTTTTGATACTAGATAATCTTCTGAAGTATATATTTTTTGTTTTTTATATTTTTCAATATATTTATTTTGTTTGTAAGAAATAAAGAAATAATTTTTAACGAAACAATAGCCACGATTATAATTTTAAAAAATATACGTTAATCTTAACATCGACGAAAATTCAACGCGAAGCGACACGCAATGGAGAAAAATTTCAACACGGGATAGGTTAATATATTTTTTCGTACATAATCGGTTATCCGAAAAGTAAGTTATCCGAACAACTCCAGTCCCCAATTGATTCGGATAAACGACGCTCTACTGTAGTTTCGTTTCCAATTTTTTTTAATAAAAATTTTTTTTTACAAAAATTCGGTGGCGCTTGAGGCCCTAACATGTGTAGTCGATATAAGTAGTGTTGACCCTTGAGTTGGTTCATTTTTTAGTATTTAGTGTAAGATGCAATTGTATACAAATGCACATGTACTCACTTGGGGTTTATTTAGTCTTGGAAACGTATGAATTGCATGCTGATAATAAAGTCCAAGGACTTTTTATTTACCTGATATGTATTCTTATATATTAATAATATTAACACATCACACACACTACACAAAAGCGTGGGAACATTACAATTGAATAGAAATACATACATTGCACTACAAAAGGCCACTATATGTAATACATGCCATATTGTTAGGAAAATGCTGAATACAGACACTGACACACTTATTTAATGTTAGTTTTTGGTTGCTATGCCATGACTCTGGTCTGGCATAGTACACAGCTACCGGTGTGTACCGAGTTTAACCCACTAAACACAATAATAATAATACATAAAAGAAAACTGTAATTAAATTATAATGATATGACATTTGAGCGATAGAAAACGTAGTTTATATACGAGACTTGTTTGAATACTACTGAACACTGGTTAATGGCTATATCCCCATGCTCAATCTAAGAAAGTTAATTATTATATTTTAAACTCAACACTCTTCCAATGAAAATAAAACAATAACATTGACATTTGATTCACTTCTAACCAAAGCATTTATTTACAGTCATAAAACAAATAAGTGTGTATTAACACTCATGATGGTAAGAGGAAATTCACTTTCTGAAGGTAAAGTAATTAGTTAACTTTTTTTTATTTTTATCTTTGAAAATAACACATACCACTGAAAGTATAATGAAACAAGATATCAATCTGCGAAACTAGAATGTTTTTTCAGCCAGTTGAAATTTGAAATAGTAATTTTGTTGCGTTTTATATCAAATTACGTTAAAATAAATAGAAATATTTTCGAATACACAACTATTAAATTATAGAAAAATAGAAAAGTTAAACATATAAATGTGGTTTTTGATGCTATCATCAGTTTTTTAAAAGTGTCAGTTTTGTAAATGAAACAGTGGCATTTGTAAAATATTTTAAACGGAAACACCAGCATTTAAAAATTAAATATATCGAAGTATAAAAATTCATGTTAGAATGATTAAAATGTAAATAAATTGGGACATATTGATTGAAATTTTGGTTGTAATTTTTTATATTTATTACAAATTTTTCAGAGAATGGAATAAAGAACTGAAGCAAAAAAATCCAAGCATACTGAAAGCTTTGTTACGCTTTGTTGGATGGAAATACCTAATAATACTTTTACTTGCAATTATCAAGGTAAGATGAGAACTGATTTGAAATAATTATATCATGTATTAAAGTAATCAAATGAACTGATATTTATATATATTTACAGCATACAGCAGTAATTGGATTCCAAACATATTTATTAAGATTCACAATACATTATTTTGAGAACAGACTGGAATGGAACCAATATAATTTTTATCTAATAGTTGCAGGATTTTTTGGCTTAAGTCTCATGTATTTGTTTATATTTAATACTTGTATGTTTATTTCACAATTATATGGAATGAAATTAAAAATAGCTTTTTGCACTGTGGTCTATAGAAAGGTAAGTATCAAATGTAATATATTATGAATACAGTATTACATTATTAAATAAATTAACATTATAATTATAAACTGTTTCTAAACGCAAATTTTCGATAAATAGGTAGTTTTATTTTCGTCATGCAAAGTAATTTCAAAAAATTTGTGAAGAAGTGACATTTTGCTACACATTTTTTAATATTTTGTATTAAAAGTTGCTTTAGTTAATGTTTTTATTTAGTATTATGTTTCGTTGTTTAGACGCATACTACAGTATTACTCTAAAGTTATGTTACGTTAACTTTTATCGTTTATAACATATTTTTTAAATATATCTGTTCTATAGGGCACTACAAAGAATAAAGTGTACAAAAGTTTAAGTAAATAAAGATAAACGAAACTACAAATAGCTCATACATTTACATAATTAATATAAGAGAATACAGTTACAATTTAATTAAGGATTAAAATGATGACAGATGCCGGTTATGTACATTACAGAAACTATATAATAGTTGTAATTGGGAAAAGAAGATAGAGCTAACAATTAGTGATACGTTAAATAACACAATATAGGCCTATAAAGCCTTATCTGCAATATATTTGTAAGTTTATGGCATTATATCTAATATAATAGTTATTTTAACCCAGCTTCTGTTTTAAATTAAACACAAAGTACACATTAACACTGGGGTAGTAAAATCAGTTTCCTAAACGTTTTTCAGCTATATTGATCAGCTCTCGTCATGTAGTTTAGGAATTTGGACCAACATCAAACATTACATCAAAAATTTTTCGATTGATTTAAAAACAAGAAAAAAAAAAACAGAAATATTGGAAACGAATTTTCAACAAATTTTTGCAATAAATTAAAAATTCCAATTATTATAATAACAATAAAATATCTTTAAAAATTTATACAATAACATAACTATGTAATATTTAACACTGCGCATACTAGAAGGGGTTTTTGTTCGTTCTAAACCCTTTTGTAATGGCGTATCTCAATGCTGTTAGAAATCGCTTTAATTAATAATCGGAATTTTTAATTTATTGAATAAATTTGTTAAAAATTCCTTTATGTTAATTCTGTTTTAAAATCTTTGAAGAAATGTTTGATGTTAAGTTGTTTCGAATTCGAACACTATTTTCTTGATGAGGGCTCATCTATAAAGACGAAAGATGTTTATTATAGTAATTTTAACTAGTGGTAAGGTGTTGTAAGGTGTTGTTTGTATTCAGTTATAACAAATTACTAAAATTTATTTCACGATTATATGTATTAGCCGGTACACAGTGCTCATTTTACAAGAAAAGAACAATTATATTTGTTGCAGTTTATTACAATTCTTACAAAAGTACTTTTTAATCAGAGTTTTGAGGATTATGAAGAGTGCTTCGTTCCCAGTCAGTTTATAAGGCGCAAATAGACAGTCAATACCTTGTGTACTTTTAATAAGATGGAGTTCAAAGCGTTCCTGTCCACACTTGGACATTCAAAAAATGTAGTGCAGTGGATTATCAGGCACATAACACAGCTCTCATCGATTTATTTCTTGAATGTGGAAGCGTGCAAGATAGCTGGCAAAGCAGTCGTGCCCTATAAAGAACTGTACCGCCTCATATAAAAGATTGTTTTTGGATAGATGATTAATTTTCTTGATTGTAGTGAAAACGAGACGAGTGACTGCTCCTGTGTCTGTAATTTTTTGAATCTTCTGCCATAGATGTTGATTAAACTTTATCGTCCAGTTTGACAATAGTTTTTGTGAGAGCAGTAGAAATGTGTTCACCTAAACCATTTTAGGCTGCCTACCTAGCAAGGGCATCTGCCCTCTGGTTATAAAGACCCTTTCATGTCTTCTAAATCAGTTCACTAAAAATTCGTTTTTACTATTTACTATCACCCAGTTGATTTCATTGCTAATAGGGTAAGTATTAAATGGATTTTTCAAGATAATAGAGGAGATGTAGGAGTCAGTGTTCATGTTCATCTTCTTGTATGTGATGTTATGGTTACACCAGTTCACTGCACTAAGTAATGCACTCAGTTTAGCTTGATGTACCATACTTGATGTTGAAGATTGATCTAAACGTGTTCTTCTTGTACCCATTATAAACTTCTTTACAATCTTCTTGTACCCCTTATAAACTTCAATAGCGCTGCCTGTCTAGTTATCCTGCTTGGATCCATCAATGTACTGTACACACTTATATTGGAATAATGAAAAATTCAATTAGAAAGAAGTGGCTATAAATAGGGGAGTGGTGTCTGACTAACATCATAGACTCCCTCCAGGATGGGATGATCCAATAGTGCATTGAAAGCTGGAACATATACGCCATGTGTTATAAGCTCTATTCAAGCCAGTGATTTGATCTCCAGAGTGATCGGCTGATTGCTGCCAAGAGATGTAAAATACTAGTTTAGTGGAGGTAAACTTGTAAGCACTAGAAACCACCAACAGGTCACGTTGTTGAGTACTTATTAATCGTTTCCGATTGTATATTTTATTTATATTGTCTACCTGTACTGCAATACAATACAACACAATACAATACTTTTATTTTGTCTGAATAATGCAATAATACAATACCAGCACTGCTGAGAATAATTGGCGGTAAGATAGAACAGAGGATATGATATCAGTGTGTCCGCAATGAAATTTCAAAACGTACTGAAGCGCCTTCAAAAAATGTACTATTTTCCTTCAAAATGTACTAGTTCTATGAATACTTTGTTTACGTGCCTATATATATATAGGCACGTAATATATATATATACAATAAACTATATATATATATATAGTTTATTGTCAAATAATTTCATTTTAAATCTTATTTTTGGAATTATTTGAAAGCTATTTAAAATTAAAAATATACCTACACATCTATTATTTATTATAAAATGAGCATTACATTGACATTTATTAATAATACTATTGAATTTCATCTTAATTTTATAACCGATCGTGGAAAAAATTAATTATAAATTTGTTATATTATTTTATTCTTTATTATACTTTAAATTTTTTTTATGTTATTGCATCACTTTACAAAGTGGTATATAAGTAATTGCATCAGTTTTAGTACCTATTTAATTAATTTCAATCATGACAGCAAAAGATAAGGATGTTTGTTTCTTTTAAACTATTTGATGAAAACGTTACATAAAATTGGGGTTGTATAATCATCCGAAATTATTATTACATTTTTGACTGGAAATTACAGGATTTATGCAATTTTAGTTTAATTAATGTCATATAAAACTGACTGCTCGTTCAAGTTTGCTTAAAACACGCGACTCAAAAAACCCTAAAATGGCAGCTCAAGAAGTAGATCACGCGTGTCCTGATCTTCTTATATAGACCTTGGAACAGTCGGAAGCGCGGCCATTTTGGAACCATACGTAACATTAACCCTTATTTCTTTTACTACGATTACTAAAATTGAAGTTCATAATTTAAGAATTAAATTATAGTGGTAGAAAATAATATAAAAGTATTTATAACATTTATACTCGTACAATTTCAAAACTATTTTCTGTAATAATTTGTTTCTGACTGAACGGATATTTTGATATTATTGACGACAAAAGTTTAAAATCATTGATTTTCGTACCTGTCCATTATTTTTGTTTGACGGAGTTGAATTGTTTGGACCACGTGGCATGAAAAATTTTGTCAAGTTCCTGAAGAGAATGTGCAGACAACTGAACGTATCAAAGACCACTGGGTAAAGACCGTTTACACGTGCAACTATCTATGTTGCTGACGTCGACGGACACACACTATTTGTATGTTGTGATTGGATAATTTAAATTAGAAAGCAGTGACACTAGTGAGACTTTATTAAACTAAATTTTTCATTTTTTAAGACGTGTAATATTATTTTGTACCGTAAATGGTACTTGAAATATTATAATGTACTGAAAATGTACTAAAAATCTTAATGTACTTTCAATTTACTGGAAAGGGCAAAATGTACCAGAAAAGCTCAAATGTACTAGGAACGGCAACACTGGTATGATATACATGGTGTTTAATAAACGTTTTCTTACATGGTGCCAATAGTATATCGCGAGCTAAATAAACAAGCTTAAGCGCGACAATAAATTTGTTACATTAAAATACCCAATAAAAGAAACATTGCTTGTTTGGTTTGTTTAGCTTACACATATTACAGAATGAGCATGAGGCGAACATACAATATGAACATGTAGATTGCAGTTTTCAGTAAGCACGCAATATGAGTGAGCTTGTCACTGAGGAGGAGATAATACTACTGGCTCAAACAAACTATGCTGACGTTGAAGTACTTCATGATCAAATCTTTGAAGTAATTGTAGTTTTGCTTTTTGAGAAGGAATTTATGTGCATTATGTCAAGTAGCCCCTTTTCCTTCCACTGATGTTTTCAGTTGATGTCTTTCTAGTTCTAAACCAATACAGTGAATGATATTATGTTCGCTATCATCTGGAATGTTACAAATTCAGCAGAGGTTCGTTTGCTGTAAATGAAAACGGTAGAGGTTAGAGTAAAGCAGGGTTAGCCAAAGTGGTCTTTATCGATTCCCAGGGGTCGATATAACATCGTTGGGGGTCGATAAAAAGATTAAAACTTTCAATTTTTGAACCGAATATTGCTAATGTTGCTAACGATTATCAAGTTTATCCGTCTCATTGACTGAGGTTACGAAAATTATTATTAACCTAAGTACAATGAACGTAAAAAATGTAAAATTAAAAGATATGTATTAAAATAGTAAGGACTTTTTTTTTGCTTGTAACACAAACTTTTTCGTGGTAGTCGATGTGAGGTTTTGAAAAGTTGTAGAGGGTCGACGATCAAAATATTTTGGCGACCTCTGGAGTAAAGCCTACCACGTACAGATAAAAACTGTGTGACATATTGGCTAATGTTAATCCAGTTATTTTCAATGTAGGCCTTAACATATGGATAAATTTGTAAGTCAGGTGATTATAATTGTCATTCCTATAATTGTCATTAAAAACATGCTTAAACAGTACCATATTAATTAAGTAAAAGTGGCAACTTTTAAGTTGCCACTTTTTAATAAGATGCTGTTTAAGCATGTTTTTAATGTGTTTTATGGAAATATTGGAGTAGGAAATATAAACATCGTTGTCTTGTGCTGCAGATATCGATAGCTTGTCGGCTCTCTCGTTTCCTTTGCTGCCAATGTTAGCTTTTGTCCAGTTAAAGTAAACTGTGTTAGGAGAGGAGATTATCTATTTCATAATTATCGTTTGCTGTGGGGTTATGGCCTCGATAAAGAATTAGCTGTGATGTTTATGTGCAATTGGTAAAGATAAGGTACTGAGTATTGTTAAACGTGTTGTTACTGTACTGTAATGCCTTGAGTATGGTCAGTAACTCTGCCTTAAAAACAGAGCTGTATGGGTGAAGCCTTTATCTGCTGCTGAGGACTTCGGTTTGGTTGTCGTAAACAGCGAAACAACAGTAGACTCCCGATCCAAGCTTAAATCCGTCCGTGTAGATGATTATTTTCGTGTGAACCCTATACTTAATTCTGGCATATTGGAGACAATAAAGGTTGATGGTAGACCTATATTCTATAGGTTTCTTTATATCGTTGACATGGTGAGTTTCATCACTGATGAAAATTTTGTTTGTCTTGAGTATGTTCTAAATATTTGCATGATTTTCTATGAGCATGTAATAGGGGGTTCCTTAGTAATCATTTGCAGACTGGAGGTGAGACAAGTACGATAGCCTTTGGCGATATGCAGCAGCACTCTCTGTAGGGAAGAGTTTAACATCCTTGATATGTGTGATTTCTTAACTGCATCTGCCCACGTGTTGCTGGCATAAGTAATTATTGGTACATAGACCACGTCATATATGGTGGCCATGGCAACTGAATCCAAGCCAGAGTTATTTTTAGCAAAGCGAGCTAAATTTTAAAATATTTTTTCAGTATTGTTTCATATATATTCGATGTCCACAGCAGCTTGTGGTTGACATTACCCCAAGATATTTAAGCTCTTTCAATATCTTAATTGTATTTCCTCTCATTTTATTGCTAGGAACTCTTTTTTATAAATGTCTCTTGCATGATCTGGTAAATAATATATTTTTTGACCTGCTAGGGTTGAAATGAAGCTTAAGTTTAGACCCCAAAGATTCGATGTTATTGATAATCTCATTGCCCCTAAGCTCCAATTCGACGCGAGAGTTGGCTACTATGAGGATGAAGATGTTGTCCGCATATATGATGGTGTCGTCTTGCACAAAGTTCTGCATTACAAACAGGTGAAATATGACGTCCCATAGGAGCGAAACACACGCAAAACCTTGCGGACAGTGTCTGATGATTTCCTGATTATAGTGATTATTGCCTGATTGGAGAACGACTTTCCTGGTAGATAATGGAAAGCCGTTCTCCAATCAGGCAATAATCACAATAAGCAGGAAATCACCAAATCGGAAAAACAATCATTATCATCAACAGTGAGTCTCAGACATATACCGGTTTATAATGACGTTAAAAAATTTAATAGTGTACATATATTTTGTAGAACAAATAATTCGGTATTGAATTATATAGTGTCAGTTTCTTAGTATCATATATTTTAAATAATATTTATAATGACATGTTAACTAAAACAAAATATATTTTAAATGCAGTAATGATTACAGTAGCTCTTAAAAGATTTAGGTTTGTGTAATTCGAAATACGTACGCAGTAGATCGTAGCAATCCAATGGTTGGCTGGTGTCACGTGTCCAGTAATCTGAAACTTATCTCACTCTCGGGTATTACCTAAACTATTGCCCTAACGTATAAACATCCTACTGCTTTAAGCTGCACTTCTGACTGAAAGTGAACACTTTTTTTTCCATAAAAAATAGCATAATATCAAGCCATGCGTAAACACTCGGACTTAGAAAGTTTTATAGTTTTGTCATCTTAAAACTGCAGAAAATAGTTTAGTCTGTTATAAAAATTAAAGTATAAATAAAAAAACAAAATTTTCTGAAATTTTCGTACAATTATACTGTACAGTACCTGGGTAAATTTTTCATGTTTACTTCAATTTTTGACAAAATTAAGCTGGTACCTTGTAGGTTCATATCAGTAAACAACAGCAACAGCTGTGAACTGGATAGTTTAACTAGTAGATCAACTTCTGTTTGCAACATTACTTATAGTTATATCTATGCTTTACAATTCGTTTATGTGCTATTGAAATTACCTTGTTACCAGCAATTAAAAAATTCCTTAATTTCACACTGTTCTGGTCCCATATATTTCTGGTGAATAATTTGATCTATTTCTTTTAATGAAATTACTATAACTATTTTTATACTAATTAAATTACTATAACTATTACTATTTTTCAACAAAACATAATATAATTTTTTGCGAAAATTTATCAATTTTTATAAAAATTTTTAATGCAGGCAATTAGACTGAATCCTTTCTGCCTAGAGAAGTCAAATGTCGGACAAATGGTAAATCTTCTAGCAAATGATGTTAGCAAATTTCATAATGTAAGTTCAAAATAATTTTTGAAAAAATAATAACGTACAGCAATTACTCTAGTAATGATTATCTGCGGGTATAAAAGTATTTTTTTCTGTGTATATGATCAGAAATGTTTTTAATGATATTACACACTCGGTTTTCGAACATTTCACTTTCTGAACACGTTGAATCAGTAACACAAATTCGAGCTTATATTTGCTCCAATTGTCATACCGTAACTGGGTTGATGAACAAGCTTTACGCATGACGACATATTACAGAGAGAAAGATTGTCATCTTCCCAAATATGCTAAAAAACTCGATTGCCTGACCAATCAGTGAGTGGTTTACTGATTCAGAAGAGAAAGACGCTCAGATCACCCACGTTATTAGATGTAAGGGCAAGAATCATCTGTGACGTATATGTAAATTAAATTCAAATATACTTGTGGGAAAGTTGTTACTTCCGTTTATCAGTACATGCAACAGTTGAATCTAAATGAAATTAATAAAAACCCCATTAATTGACATTTTTATAATATAATTGCCTATCAAGAATTCGTCTTTCAAGAAGTTTAAGACAAATTAATAAAACTTTATTATGTATAATAAACCAGCAACAAGTTGCTGAATGTTCCCGAATAACATTTAAAATTTTGTGTTGCCATCTGTTTATATATTTTTTAAAACTACTTTTATATTATTTTGTTTCTGAAACACAAATAAGTGTCACAAATTACACTTGGCGTTTTACGATCTTTATTCAGTTTTCAGAACAACTGTTACGTACGAATTATGTTCGAAAATCTAGGTTTAACTGTTTATAATTTTCAAACTCTAATATTCAATGTCGTATTTACTTTCAAGTCTAACATGAATTTGATTGAAAGCATAATAATAGTCTAATGAACTTTTATCACAACTCAGAAAATTGAAGTCAGTTTTTTTTTCTATATTTTTTCTATTATCTACCAAATGTTAACATTCTTTGTAAAGAAACTTACATCCGTGACCAAACTTTCTGTTCGCACATTCTTAGACTATATTTTGTATTAAATACTTTATTTTTTGAAATGTAATATTGAAAGCTTTAGAAAGGTGTTGAGTACACCGATATTAATATAAACAATGGGATGTTATGTTCTGGGTTTAAGTGTATGTTTATTTGGACAAGTTTTGCTTAATAAATGCAAATATAAAAGTATTTTTACTGTAATTATACAAAGTAAACATTTTTATTAACGTGAAAAAAAGATTAGTGTAAGAATCTCTTGCATTTTAGAACTAACATAAAATTTTTCTTTCTGTCTGACCCTGTTGCAAAGTCTAGAAAGCTTTATTTCAGATCTAGACAATAACGCTGTTCTGTAAATAAAACAATAGGCGATAATATAAACATTGTAAGTTATTGAAATTTGCATCATGCACAAATGATAGGACACATGAAATTTCAGAATTTTCAAAATTTAGAAAAAACAGTTTTTGCCACGCCATTGCATGTCAAACCAGAAAAAGTAAACCTTTGATAGTAACGAAATATTAAACGGCCGGATGTCCGAGCGGTCAAGGTCAAGAGCCTACTGCTCTGAAGGATCCGGAATCGAATCCGGACGAGTCAAGGAACCCCCAGGAATTTTTCGGGGTGGTCCGTTCGTATATGTCGGACTCCAGTCCCTCAGCACTCGGTCACTCCATTGTAGGCCTGGCCGAACCCATAAAGGGCCTGCTATAAATGACCCTCTTAGTGTCCACAGGGCGGAAAGAGTAAAAAAACAGTATTCAAATACTGTCTTCTAAAAAGTTGCATGTGATTACAAGATAAAGAATCACAGATTTTTTGTAACTTTTGAATGCTATGCAAACAGTCTCCAAGTTATCCAGTTACCAAATTAACTTTGATCACACTGTGTGACTCACAGATGACAGATAACATTAAAGTCTGACATCTGTATGTCTCAGCAACGTTAGCATTGGAAAAATTTGGTTGCTCCTTGTAACATACATTTTTTAAATCTTCATACAGTATTTTGCAGGTATTTTTGGATAGAGGGGACTCCAGGTATCACTCAAATGTACGAATTGGAGGTTGTGGGAGAAAGATAACAAAAACAAGTAAGGTGAAGGATAGGCGGTGAAAGTGAGTCAGAGTGGGAGGTTAAAAAATGGGACTTTATGGTGCCTACAACGCATTTATTGACAAAGTAATAAGTTCACAAATACAAAACACAAAATACAAGGTACAAGATAGAAATTAGAGAAAATAGAAATAGCAATACAAAATATAAATTAGATTATGATATTATTTCATGGTGAACTCAAAATACAGTTTTCTTCCAATTAGAAGTTCAGACTACAGTTGACCCCCTATACAGTAGCGTAGCGTAGGGGGGCGGCAGGGGGGCGGCAGGGGCGGTCCGCCTCGGGCAGCACTTTTTAGGGGGCGGCAAAATTTGACAATAAATAATAATAATATCTTGTAAGAATTTGAACCATTTTATTTCATATTTCCTTCCACCTACGATTCGAACCGAATGAAATGAGCTCGGAATAATGGGAATAGTGTTACCGACCGACTCGTCATTCGGAGATATCGTGCACAACCTGTCGACCTTTTTTTTTGCTCGTACGATTCATTCGTATCATATACACCTCCAATATTCAATAAGGTTAAGTCATCTAGGTTACTTACGTCACTCCTACCCAAGTCTCCCTAGTCGCTAACCTAACCTAAGCTAACCTTTTCATTAAAAATTATAGAAAAATAGCGCCTGGATTCTCACAAATTAGAGCTCTTACAAATAAGAGTAAAAATTAATCTACAGTTATGTATACAGTATATTGTATATGCAAGAAAAATAAATGTTATATGACCTTGATTTATGGCAAAGATGGATTATGAGCAACATGTATTCGAAACTTTTATGAGGTTTTAGATTGTTCTAAACAAGTATAGTCATGCTTTGTAAGAGAAAAATACTGTAGCTAAATAATTAAAAATAATGCAGCAACATGTTCGGATTCGAAATATACAGCGATGTCTGCCACATTCAGAACACGAAGGGGAAGACACACAGGAAACTACACATGAACTAATAGAGCTTAAGCCCTGGGGCTCCGAAGTGACATAGCCCACAAAAATTGAATTATTATCAAAAGTTTTAATACTTTTTCATTAATAATGAGCCCTTATTCTATATTAAAAGCAGTTAATAGGTTAGGTTTGATTAGGTTGGTAAAAATGTTAACAATGAGTTCCCATTAGATTTCAATAAGCCCTAAGTCTTGGAAAACCAATATCTGTTCCCGAGAACACGTATAAATTATTTAAATTATTTGTAGTAACCTGCAATCAACTATTTTGAATAATGTAGCATAGTTTTTTGTAAATTTCAAATGAACACTCTTCTATATAGTGTACAGTAGATGCAGCAAATTGTGGGAGCCAAGGGGGGAGAAATATAAAAAGAAAACTCAATGAACAATAATATGCGATATATATCGTCATCGTCTCCCTTGCCGTCTGGACTGCCGAGCGGTAACAATCAACGACATGTAGAAGCAGTTGAGTCAGAGATAGATGCTTCGTTTACGAATAACACAACCGTTTATTAAACACGAAAGAAGCTTACAAGATTTCCGCGTTCTTGGAAGTTCTACGTCGGCTGCGGTCTCTGGTTCTTCCTCTCCTTTCCAAAATAGTTCCATTTTGAAGGAGTGTCCCTTGTTTTCGAATGAACAATTCCATCACGTCTCGACGACTCCGGGACGATGCGGTCAACTTCCATTGATGGAAAGATGTCGATTCGATGTCGGGAGTTGGAGACGAAAATGGGCGCGAGACACACACACAAAAATAGATCTGTCACTTGGAACTTTCGGGAGAAGAAGCCGTCGCGTCCTTGAATTTCCGGGGTTTTATCCGTTATCTCTCAGATTCCCCTTTCCGATTGATTTTTCTTCGTCACCTGTTGACAATTCGAAACCTTTCGGGGGCGCGGGAGAGGTCAAAATCGAATTTTAATTCGATCTCCAACCGGAGATGGTCGACAGACTTACATTCTTCTATTGTTTAAAAGTTAGCGTCGCGTTTTCATAAAATAAAAATCTATTTCTAACTGCTATATTTTTTTTCTAAAACAATTATTCTAACGCAAATTTATTGGGGGTTCGGACCTGTCCAGAGCTTCACAAAATTCAACATGTTAATATTTTATTTTATGATTTCTGAAATGCTTATACAGCACTAAGTCTTACATTTATTATAATTTGTTTAATATTTATTTTATACATATTTAATAAATTTATTTATTACAGAAAGTTTACTTCATTTCATATTTATTTGCAAATCCTTTTTTCATCATTATCATGGTAGCAATTTTGTGGCAATATTATGGATGGACTATTTTAATCGGATTATTGGCTATATTTTTTTACATTTCTTTGCAAATTGCTTTGAGCAAACTGTATTCAAAATTCAGGTAACTATTATTTTAAATTATATAGTTGTAAAATGTCTGTAGATAGAATAAAGAAATCATGTTTTTTTTTTCTTTTTTAAACATGCAAACATTCAAAATTGGCTTAACTGTTTGAGAGGAAATCTAATGAAAGTAATATCTTTTAATTAGTTTTCTTTATACAACTTTATCTTGTAGCCTGAGGATTAAGAACAATTATAGTTTCCATGACCAGAGAAAATAGAACTTTTCAAAGCTAAAAAAAATAATGGTTATTAATAAGGATAATATTCACATATAGACAAATTATAAAATTTTATTTAATCGAGCTCTCTGCTTTATTCTTTGATATTAGAAAAGTTAATGGGAAAAAACATAAATTATTAGCCTGCAATCTGGAAAACCAGAAATTGCACTTATGCAAGCAAGCATAAATTTTCATACTTCTGTGTTCCAGGAATGAATTCAGTAGTTGCATTTTTCATAATTGCGTAATGAGTGTAAAATATNAAAAAAAAGCAATTCAATAGAAAATTTAAAGAACTCGTTCAATTATATAAGCATGAAAATAATATAAATTTAAATACAGTAGAACCCCTCTAGTCCGCCCTCGGCTAGTCCGTCACTCCGGTTAATCCGACCGTGGTCGGAGTCGAGAAACTTGTCCCGACTTGTCGGTGACTCACCGTCCGTGGCGTTTTTCTGTGTTCGTTACAGTATATGTTTTACATTGTGTGTAGGTGTACAGTTTTGTGCGTGTTTTCAGCATGTCAGGAGTGAAAGGTAAGGAATGAATTCAGTAGTTGCATTTTTCATAATTGCGTAATGAGTGTAAAATATTTAAAACATACGTCTTGACAGAGTAAAAAGTAAAAACACAGATTATGGAAATATGTGAATTTTTAACATGCAAAACGATGTAAAATGTAATGCGTATAAAATTAAAGAAAAAGCATAATATTCAGTGCTTAAAGAATAAATCTATGTAGAATTGTCTTTCAATGTAAGTTAAATGTGTATTGTTTAATTTCATGTTTTTATATAATTATATGTTTATATTTAAATTGTAATATAATAATTGTAGATCAGAAGCCGCTATTTTGGAAGACGAAAGATTGAACCTATTGAATGAGATGATTACTGCTATGAGAATAATTAAAATGTACACTTGGGAATTGCCATATACCATGCTTGTAACACAAACTTTTTCGTGGTAGTCGATGTGAGGTTTTGAAAAGTTGTAGAGGGTCGACGATCAAAATATTTTGGCGACCTCTGGAGTAAAGCCTACCACGTACAGATAAAAACTGTGTGACATATTGGCTAATGTTAATCCAGTTATTTTCAATGTAGGCCTTAACATATGGATAAATTTGTAAGTCAGGTGATTATAATTGTCATTCCTATAATTGTCATTAAAAACATGCTTAAACAGTACCATATTAATTAAGTAAAAGTGGCAACTTTTAAGTTGCCACTTTTTAATAAGATGCTGTTTAAGCATGTTTTTAATGTGTTTTATGGAAATATTGGAGTAGGAAATATAAACATCGTTGTCTTGTGCTGCAGATATCGATAGCTTGTCGGCTCTCTCGTTTCCTTTGCTGCCAATGTTAGCTTTTGTCCAGTTAAAGTAAACTGTGTTAGGAGAGGAGATTATCTATTTCATAATTATCGTTTGCTGTGGGGTTATGGCCTCGATAAAGAATTAGCTGTGATGTTTATGTGCAATTGGTAAAGTTAAGGTACTGAGTNGCATCGATTATCCGAATTAATTGGGGACTAGGGTTGTTTGGAAGATTGGTGTTTCGGATAACCGATTATGTACGAAAAAAAAAACTTTTTCAATGTTAAAATTTTTCTCCGTCGCGTGTCGCTTTGCGTTGAATTTTCGTCGATGTTAAGCCTAACGAAGACTATTGTATCGTTAAAAATTATTTTTTTATTTTGTACAAACAAAATAAATATATTGAAAAATGGAAAAACAATAAAAAAATTTACTTTAGAAGTTAATTTAGTATCAAAAACGTAAAATATTTGTTAGCTCAAGATATAGCCAAAGATTGCAGCGCCACAGCACCAGCGAAAATTTAAATTTGCTGATGAAATTCTTTCGGATGATTGACATTTCGGTTGATTGACTTTCGGATAATCGACGCTCTACTGTATTCTTATTGTGTCACTAAGAAGCTGTAACAAAGTAAGAATCACTTATACATTAAAACGGAAATATTATAGTATTATAATGTAAATATTTAAAAAATTACAAATTATTATGTTAATAATATAACGTTATTATTTTTATTGTACCTTTTTCCAGGTCAGTAAGATGTCTTATTTTGTTAAATTCATTGCAGGTTTGACCACTCTCACGATTACATCATCGGGTAGTTAAAGGAAAGGCTAGATATTTTTATGTCAAATTCTTATTTTAAAGTAATTCTGGATTTCTCCATTCCACGGACATAGATTTGTGTTTCTGAAAGTATTAGCCTACTGCCTTAACTGCTTTGTCCACCCTGCAGTTGTGTACAGACTGTCATTAACAACAGTAATGTTGTTTTTATAATTTTAATTTAGGATTTCCTTCTTCTTGAAGAGAAAGACAACAATGCATTCGAAATGATAGAACAAAAGGCAAATTTAACGAAATGTGGGATATGGATGGATAATGTCACAGCTGCATGGAAAAAGGTAAAACACGTTTAATTTTAACTACATTTTCTTTCTTTATTTAAGTAAAAGATTGCAGAAAATAAAAAAAAAATTATTTCGAAAATAAAGAAGTAATTTTAAGTTAAGGCATGATATTAAATTAAGGAAAAGTTCCAAAATTATCAGACAGTTTTCCAAAACATTAAAAAATTGAAAAACAAGCCCAGTATTTCAAAAATAGAATAAACATTGTTTAAAATAAAGAAATATTTGTGTAATTGACAAACTGTTGTAATAAATGGAAAACGTGGCTACATATTTTAATAAAAAAATCGAATATAAGAACTATTGTATTATCTACGAAATGACCATCAGCCCTTTATTATAGTTGTTATTACTGATTAAACCGAATAGTTTGTCGATAACAGACTGGAAGCATAGATCTTATCTTTTTTCTCGTAAATCGATTGATATATCATTTCACGTGTTATTGGCGTTAGTTAGGTTGTTGTATCAAAGATACTCTCAAAACAGTGGCACTTTAGAGTTTATGCTAAGTAACAAACTAAATCCAGAAGTGAATATGATTATCCATGAATACCAACGATAAATATTACTATTCAAGCTAACCACGTGTAGAATGTTTTCACTCTATTTAAATAGAAAAGACATTTTTCATTGATAATCCTCTCGTTTGGTATCTGTCTTTACAGGACATACAGAACATCGCTATATACAAACAATAATCATTACAAAGTTTCCTGCACGTCATTTTCAATATTGAGGGCACTCTTCTTTTCTTTTCAATACCTTATTAGTGTAACATTGTTTCTGTATGGGCTATACAGAATTTAATAACAGTTAAAGCTGTCATAGTGTATTAATTGCACTTATACAACAAAGTAACTCCAGTTTGAAATTTAAGAAGTAAAAATGTTTTTAGCGCTTCAGTTATGTAAGTTCGCCAATTTTGGGGGTAATACGTTAATTGCGCGTCAGGAAAACCTAGGGTCAAACCGTATGTGGATGGTGGTGGTAGGAGACAGAGATGACAAGTGTCTTACACGAAAACCGTTTATTTTGACATTAGATTAACTTATATAATGGGAAGAACAAGAAATACTACGTTGGCCGGCTGGGGTTTCGATCAAAATATGCCCCGGGGCTCGAATGAGGTAGAGACTGAAGTTCTTGCGTGCGATGAGGGAGTTCTTGCGTCCGATGATGGAGTTCGGAAGTTGTGGCGTTCTGGATGCTTGGGTCCGGTGCATGGCTGAGAATTGGCTGTCGGTCCGCGCTTTGTCCTTGAGAGCCGGGGGTTTTATAAGATTTTCCCCCAAATCTCATCCTCTTGATTGGTCCCGTTCACGCTCTCCCTTACCCCGATTGGTCACTCTTTTTGTTTCTAGGCAAAACCCGAGACCGATCCCGGTCGGGAAAAGGTCGGAAAGGTGATGATGGTCTTTTAACGTTCGCGCTCGTATTTTACTCCGTTATGGCCATTTTCTCTGTCATCTTTGAACCTAAACGGTACACCAGATGTTCTTGTGGCCATTTATCCCCTACCGCGTTCTTACTTAACAGATGTCCCTTTTGTTCTTAGACTCCCCTTTCTCCCGCTTGCTTCGACCCGACATTTATTCGCGCGCATCTTGACAAAGCTCTCTCTCTCGGTCGACATTCCCCCCGTTGTTTATCGTCGCGTCGCGTTTGTTTTATAATTCGAAAAAGTTTTCGTCCCATCTGGATTTTGTCAATAACACATCCCCTTTCTCGATTCTATCCTCGAAACTTTTACTCGAAACTTACTCGATTCTATCCTGGAAACTTTTACGACGCGCTTTTACGACCCTCGCAGTTAGCACTCTTTTATAGAAAATTAGAAACGTTACTTTTTTTCGTTTATTACTTGTTGAATGGTGATAATCACAACAGAGAGTTGATAATAGACAAGAAGAAAGTTAGAAATTTTCCAGTTTTATGAATTACTTTATATTTTATTATGATCAATCAAAACATATTTAATAATTCGTTCTGTTCTCAGTGGTTATCGCGTATGTTTCGAATGTTATAAAAGTAAGTGTGAAATTGGGAGTGTTCCGGTTTAACTTTGTCTCATTGAGGATGGCCATTAAAATATCGTTGACAATTGATAAGTACACAAATACCCATCAACACTCTCTGAATATCACCAAGAGTCCTGACACCAGTTAGGATATAACTCTCTTGTCTCGTAAATTACGAATACTTATTTCTTCTTCGTTTGGCTTAAAGCATTATTAATTTTAGACAAAAACTTTAAAAGGGTATTATATCCGAATGTTAGTGATAGCGTGAGTTTCATGGAACTCGTGGGTCGAAGATGAAGTTAGGTGTTAAATCAATCTGAAAGTGTAGAATATAACTAACTATATATGCGCCATTGATTTTGAAAATGGGTCAAGTTTATTTTAAGCTATTGCTAAATATTTGAATAAATTTAAAAATATTCGTAAGCAGTAATAAACTTATTTTATATTTCTTATTGTCTTTTTTTCATGTAGGTTTGATATGCAAGAATCATTATTCATGTTGGGTGAAAAATCATGATTTTAGTATATGCCAATGAACTTGTCTCACTTTCAAAAGCAATGCTTTGTTGAAAACGTTGATTTTGAATAAAATATAATTATAATAACAAAAATTGAATATTTTATTTATTTACTTATTTATTTATTTATTTCAACATTTCATACGTCTTTAAAAAGCTACAATAAAAGAAAAAACATATTTAATTTTATAGAAAAAAGCGGTTAAAATAAGGAAAAATATTTAGTAACAAGTTGCATGCATATAATTATATTTTTTAGTTTATATGGTGTAAATTTTTAAAGTATTAATGATGAATGAGTGGTACACAGAATAATAAATCCATAATCATCAATATCAATATCTATATCTATACTAATATTATAAAGAGGTAATGTTTGTAAGTTTGTAATATTATAAAGAGGTAATGTTTGTAAGTTTGTACCTAGAGGGTAATCTCCGAAACTACTCATCCGATTTCAAAAATTCTTTCACCAATATTTAAAATGAAACTTCAGGGTAGACACAAGCTGTATATTATTCCGTTAAACATTCATATAAATTAAAAGTTATAATCTAGGTTATGGCTTTTATGTCCAACAGATGTACGATGCACTAAGTTTGCTAAGTACGCTACGAGTACGATGCCTTCAGTTTGCTTTTCTCTGAGGCATTATGCTTTTCTCTGAAAATGTTTGTCTGTTCCTACCGATTCCTTTGAAATTTTGACACAACGCTGCATTCGAATACGCACGTGTTTTTATATAATATACGTGTCTAAATTCCTTCCACTGCGGGGAGAGGGAGAGGATATAGGCTTACCGTAAAAAACGTTGCTTCTATTATACTATTTTAGATGCGGTTTTTTTTGCGTTTTTGATTGCGTTTTAATAGGGTCCATAAAGAGAATGTACAGTACACTAAGAAGGGATTTTTCAAAAACTTTCTCACGAGAGAAGTGTTATACATTTATAATACATACATTTTGAACAACAACGCGTGGCAGGGTCTTCTAGTATATGATAAAGGTAAGTGTACGGCGTGCGTGCCACTAAAACTCAAAAACGAGTCCGGGTACGATCAAGGAAGTTATATGGTGTGGTAGCCCTCTATTCCCCATCCATGAAGAAGGCTTTCGTTTTTACCTGAAGGGCCTGCTGTTGAAGATATAAGGGCTGGAAGTTTTGCCCTCTAGAAATATATAGAACAGTCCAGAACATTCGAAAGTATTCGAGAGCATTCCACAACATTCCAGTATGTTCCGTGATGTTCTGGAACGTTCGGAAACATCTCGGAACATCCCAGATTATTGTAGAACATTCCAGAACACTCTCGAATGTTGTGGAATATTCTGGAACATTGTGGACCATTCGAAGCCTTTTTTGTATGGGTGGGACTACCCATTGGTGGGGGTATGTAAAGCAAGAACCTTCGTAGGTTCGAACGTCAGTTTCAACTAATCTATATATATAATCGAGACGGATTGATAATAATAATAATAAGCTCAAAGCCCAAACAGTTAAGAGTTTAAAGTTGAAATTTGGTACACAGTTAGGGTACATTACGAGAACGCACACTAAGAAGGGATTTTTCGAAATTCCCCCCACGGGGGAGAGGGACAGGATTAACGCTTCAACACTGGAAGTGTTCAGTAACAATGGAAGTGTTAAGAGAAAGCAACGTGCAAGATTTACAAGCGCAGATGCGGTTTTTTGGGTTTTTCTGGGAAATCGAACATATTTTTGCCCCATCTAAAAATATTCTAATTAGTCTGAAAACACAGGAACCTAATTCTTGCATTCTGTGAAAACGGGTAAGATTGGCTGTAATGTAATAGCCTTAATTTTCGCTATCGATACTTTTTTCCCCGAGCAACTCCAGGCTTATCTGCTACTTATCTTTATAATTTAATTTAGTAATAAGCCTAGTTTTCACATTTAAAGACAATAATACAATTTTTTTAAAACTGTTTGGCCTACTTCGTTTTGGTGATAAATCAAGAGTTTTAAATTGCAAATATTTTTCTATCGATGTTTTATAAAACAATTTATACGACGTTTTTTGAAAATTTTATCCAGAAAATATTTTGCCAATTGACAGTTTTTCTATCAGTATTTTTTCTTCTTTTCAAAATTGCCTCCTCCAGAGCCTTTGTTGAATAGAAATCCTCGCTTTCCATGTACTAAAAATGCAGTACTATATGTTTGCGACATTTTTGTATTAATTTGCAATAATCCTGAGGAATATACAGCGACAGAGAGTCATACTCCATTGCTGTCCTTATTTTGAGTGGACGTGACTCATATTCAAAATCAACCAACAATAAATATTGTTGACGAAATAAATTACTAGTAACTAATTTTTAATTCTAAACTTCAGGTATTCTTTATGTTAGTCATATATTAATTGTGCCACTTTCCCATAAAATATCTTCCAAGAGGCATCTCCTTGGCAGAACATCCACTTGTCATGTAGCCATGTACAAATACATCCAATCACCTAATCTGAAGTGATATGACAAGAAGTCAAATATAGCAAATACAGAACCTATTCCGCACTTCTCTAGAACAATTGAAAACATTGTTTGATAACAATGATCACCACTTGAAAAAACTTTCATATTGAAAATAGTAGTCTGTGGTCAAACACTGTTCTTTGTAAACTGCGTTCGGTCGAAATTATTTCATTTGATTAAAAACGATTTACTAATTACCAGGATGTTGGAACAAACAGATATGTTCATTGTTCGTTGTACATATATTAGTACAATTATTCTCTGGTGATTAATTGCTCTGCAAATACCTGTCTTTTATGATTGTAGAGCATTCCTGCGAATTGATAGGACTTTAAATTTTTTAAAATAGTACATATCAAAATATTATATTTTACGATAGCAATTTTAAATTCCTGCTTAATGAATGTGAAGTTATGTGAGTAGCAAAATGTAGCAAATTGTTGCAAATATTACGTGCCATGCACTGGTTATGAAAGGATCTCTGAATTAAATGCTACCTCTTAAAATTTTCAAAATGTTTTTGGTGTTACTCGTATAATGCAACAGTTGATACCCTAGATTGTTACGAGATATGAAATATATTTTCATGATGCACTATATTTTCATGGTTGACAGATAATTTATACATCTTTTGACATATGCGTATTCTTAACTCATTTTAAAAACATTACACACAAGCTAGTTTATATTCTACGACGATTTATCAACTTTATTTAGAATAATATGATATTTACTTTATAAAAATTAATTTTATTATATAGTTTGTATTGATTAATCCATTAAAATATTACTTTGTATGCCTTCATGTAATTAAGTAACTTTGTTTCTTTTAAAAGGGAACTGAACCAACGCTGAATAATATATCTTTAAACGTGATGCCTGGAGAATTATTAACTGTTATAGGTCCTGTTGGATCAGGGAAGGTAAATATGTTTATTTTGAAGTCATAAATTTGAAGTAATTACATTTGTTGCAATTTTATGCTGATTGAGATGATATATCTCGATATCAAAATTTAGACATAGACTTACTTTCTTAGGAATACGGCTCTAAAATTAAATTTAAGTTTAGTTATAACGCATGAAATCATACCGGGACAATTAATTGAAGACTTGGATTAAATGTATTAAACTGTAAGATTATCGTTAAATATCAACAACTATTTGTCGATTTGATCAAAAAACAAAATTAAAACGGAATAGTGTGATGTTATCTTATATGAAAATTCGATTCAAAATTTATTGAAAAGAAATTTTAAAAAATGTAGTTGTCTCATTGATATGTAAAATTTGAAAGAAATAATTGAAGGATGTTACATTGCTCCACAGAGTTTACGGATTCTTTTTCTTTTTCTAATAAAACAATTATTAGAGAAATACGTTTGTTTAATTTAAATTTGCCCAACTGGGAAACAATTCAGGTTATTCATCCAAATTATAACATAGATCGTAACAAATAATGTATAGTTTTATGAATGTACAAGAAAGTTTCGTGTTTTTATATTTAAACGTTCTGCAAAACAAAAAATCTGTAAATACATAATGAGGAAATTTTAAATTGGTGATATATTTGTGTATAAAAAAGGAATGCAAAAAAGAATTTCGATGAACTAGAAATACCATCAGAAGGTCTGGATCTAAAACTACATAAATGTGTAAAATTATTTGGCATTGGCATTCAATATACGTAGTACGATCCAAAAGTTCGGGGACTTGGCTTGAAATTTCTTACCTTAAAAAGTTTATATTGCCGATGCATAACCACCTTTAAAGTAATCACCTTGGGCAAAGATACACTTTTGCCAGCGCTCGTATAACTTCTAATAGCACTGCTGAAAGCCATTTTTTGAAATCTCCCGTAAGGTCTTTTGCGATGCTGCTCTCACCTCATCTGATGAACAAAACAGCGTCCTTGCAAATGCTTTTTCATTGATGGAAACAAATAAAAATCACACGAGGCTAAGTCCGGTGAATAGGCGGGTGTGGAAGCACATTAATTTGAGTTGTCATGCAGAAAGTACCAGTCGCCACTTTGCCAGATCTGTGGCCATTTACGACGAATGAATTCCCTCAAACGACATAAAATGTCTAGATAATGCTCCTTGTTTACTGTTCTGCGTTCGGGAATAAATTCTGAATGAACAATTTCTTGAGAATCAAAAAACACCTCCATCATGACTTTTCCTTTGCTCGGTGCATGTTAAGATTTTCCGTTAAAATACGCTGGCAACTAGTCTTTGGCAAGTGAGTAGCCGCAGCGATTTTTTTAAGGGTTTGGCGACGATCTTTGCGAACATATTGAGAGACCAACTCAACATTTTCGTCGTTCCGTGAAGTCGAAGGTTGGCCAGAGCGTTCATCGTCTGCGTGGATTCTCGGCCCTCTTTAAAACACTGATTCCATTTGTACAGCTTTGATTTCGCCATGGTAAAAACACCGTACACATTTCTTAGCAATTTTAAAGTCTCCGTAGGTGTTTTACCTAAACGCTGACAAAATTTAATGTTGCAGCGCTGTTCTTGAAACTCCATTTTTATTACGTTGCAAAACAAAGGTAATTATCTCCGAAAGAAAACAACAACGCTCGCGGTTTAATCACGCGACATGGGCGAAATCAACCTGAACACGTAGGAAAGGTTCGGTAGAATCATTTTCATACGCCTTAACTTCAAATGCAAGCTTTTATTGTCATACATTACTGTAGTCCCCAAACTTTTCGATCGTATCACGTATATGCGTATGTTTTATGAAAACTGTATTTAAAAAAATAAATAAATAAACATCTTAAAAAATTTAAATATGATTAGGACACTTCAAACTATTTAAACAAAAAAACTAAGTTGACTGATTGTAAATTATGAGCGAAGTTTGACAGGTAGCAAAAAATTATAACAGTAGGTACTTAGCTATTTTAATGGTACCTGAATAGAATGACTTTGAAGCTTTTTTTTCGAGAAGATTTAATAAAAATATAACAGATAAANCATTATTCTATTAATGGAGTTCACGATTTTTCAAAACATTTGTGTTTTCTGGCCTCACGTGTGGGGGTTCGAAGTTTCTTCAGGTGTTTGTCACTTTTGGAACGGGGTGTGCAAGTTCTAATGAGAACATGCAAGTTTCAAACTGATTTACATGAAACGTCAAAAGTTCGTCACCAGATGTTTATTTTCGTGTACCTGCTTATGAAGCTAAGATGTTAATATTATTTTTGTTAATAATTATGTTTAATCTTGTATGAATTTTTAAATTTTTGGATAGTGTTTGAAATGAAAGAGTGACAACCGATACCAGCGAATAAGCTGATTTTTAGAAAATTGCACATTTTTTTTAATGATCGAATTTCTATTAAAAACATTTTAATTTTTTCTGATTTTCGAAAGTTTTTCGATTTTACAATTTCTGCTCATTTACGAAAATGTAAGGCAGGACCTGCATTTATTACCTACAGGTACAGTACATTTAAATTATTTTGTTTGTTATTGATTTTGTTTCTATTTTATTTTAATTCAGGAACAAAAAATGTTCATTATATTCATAAGTCAAAAGGATATGTTTTATTTTTAAGAATTTCAACGAGAAAAGATTGTTGTGTATTTTGTCTATCATTTTTTTCTCTGTAATGTGTTATAGAATTTACCTCTATTCTTTAAATAAAAAATTCATTACTGTCAATCAAAACTATCAAGTAAAACTGGGATTTAGGACTAAATCATTACAGGTTCATGTTGATTTTCATGTAACATATCTAAACTAAATATCAATTTAATTTAACATCAAAGAAAAAGTACTCTGTTATTACTTGGGTTTTGTATTTTGAAATGTTTTTCATCAAGTATACACAACATATCAGTTATTCGTATTGCATATTTCTTAATGGCATATGAATGTGTCTTCCTGTATAAGTAACTATCTGATAGAACACTTGTTCGAACAGAGAGTTACTTATGCAGGAAGTTTATTCATGATGGGTCAACAGTCTTATGTACTTTACTTTGAAAAAGGGAAAGATATTGCCATCACATAGCAATCTATGAGAATATTTAATTTGTGCAGTTTATCTTCGTTCGAACTGTATAAAATATTTATGTATTAAGAAAACTTTATTTTTTTTAGCTTATCGTAAAATTATTCAATATGAAAATGCAAAAAGTAAACTTAGCAAATTTGAACTCGTTATGAGTTATGTTAAGATATATTAGTTGACATCTAGATTGTTTGTAATTCCAGAGGAGCATGTTAAATTTTATGGTAAAAATAAGAAAATTTTATTACTTTCCAAAAAAAGGGATTACACCTGTTATAACCTTTTCATGCTAATGCCAACAATATGCTTTTGTTTTTTACCCTGTAAGAAAAAATCATCTTGCAGGTAGAAGTGCCTCAAGTATTGTAATGATTTCAGGATAATCACAACAACCTTGGTTAAAGATTTTAAATCCAGTTTTCACGAATCTAATTGTTCTTTTAACTTTTTATTTTTAAACCATCATAATAAACTGAAATTATTTCTCTAAATTTTGCATTTTGTTGTTCAATTAAGTATTTACTTACTCGTGGTTCGAAAAAATGAATTTTACATCTTTCTGTTTATATAATTTATAAATGCAAAAATCATAAACATATCAAATTTTAGCTTACTATATATTATATACAGGGGGGTGATCGGTTACTAACAGTTCGGTTAACAAACAAATCGGATAAAGAACACTTTCGCGAAAGATTTTATGTTCGGACAACAAACACATGATCGAATAATGAACACCTCACAGAACAAACACAAGAATAAGCGACGAAAAATAATGAATACCGATTGGTCTTCCTTTGTCTTCAGACAACAATTCGAAACTTTTTGGAGCGCGAAAGACGTCGACATTGACGCTCAATCCGGTATATTCTGATCGGATAGTATTTTTCCGAACTTCGAATCTCTCCCTTGTAATTCCAGCCTTTTATTTTTCTAACAGAAACAATTCTTTTATAGTGTTCGCGAGACTGTCGGGTAGGCCTTCGTTAGGATTTGCGTTGGTTTTTATTTTAGAAACGTGAGCGTATAATAGCAAAGGTAGAGAGTCAGCAGAAGATGTCTGTTGTTGCTGGGCAGTATGGCTTGAACAGGTCTACAGTAGGCTGCAGTTCAATCTTATCTAAGAAAGGTACTGTATAATCAAGAAGCTCAAGCAGCTAAAAGAGTAACAGAAATCACATCTGAGAAATAAAGAACATTGAAGATCTCTTAATGAAACTTGAAACTGATCTGACGACAGAAGAACGCCAAGAACTCTCGAATGGAGAACACCAAGAAACTCGGTGAGATATGTTTTCTACTGAAAAAGAGAACTAATGCCGATATTTGCTATTACAGATCTTTTGAAGAAGTGTGAGGATGTCAGAACAACGGTCTTAGAATGGCATCCAAACCAGGTTGAGGTTAATAGGTTTGGGGATCTATTACAATTACAATGCTATTAATAACTTCCGAGAAATCTTGAAGAGAAAAGCAATCGACATTACAAATTTTTTACCCTCACAAACGGAAGGAAAAGATGACTAATAAAAATGCAAGACAGTGCATATATGTACAGTAAAATTTTTATCTATATATATATATATATATCTATATCTGTATTATATATATAAAAATAGACGTGTGTGTCCCTGTATTTCACTTTTCCGCAAAAACTACACATCGCACATGAATGGTGTTTGTATGTGGTAGTAGCCTCAAGTCTCCATTCGTGCATAGGGGTAGTTGCGTCACGATAGCTATAAGGGTGCGGGAGATGTGGGCTTGAAAGTGGTTGAAAGTGGCTTTCTATTTCGAATGTTGTGTTCGAATTTGTTCGAATTAAATTCGAACATAAAATTCGAATATTGGTTCGATTATAGAACGATTGTAAACGTTCTATAGACGTTTAAAATAGTTCGTTTGACTTGACGTGAACAGGATACGTTTAGAAATCGAATCGGGACCATAGAAATAGAAAACGGAGAAGATTGGCTATAATATCTTAATCTTCACTATCGTTACTTTTTAAAAACCCAGCGAAGCGGGTCCTTGCAGCTAGTTATTACATATAAATAAACATAGTAAGAACGTATATATTTTTTTTATTTTTGGGGGGTCTCCAGAACGAAATAATCAAATTCCCATAAAAACCTATGATAAATCAATAATCGGTTAACGAACAATTCGGATAACGAACAAAGCCTTGGAACAGATTATGTTTATTAACCGATCACCCACTGTATATACAAATGGTCACAAACGTTTTAAAGATATAATTTAAAACATATTAATGAAAGAAACAAATGTTTTAGTTTTTGTAAAATTTATAGTATATTTTTTATAGTTATATTATATATAGTTATATATAGTTATATTTTATATTAGTATAGTTAATTTTTTGTCTCACTTTTCTATTATATGCAAACGTAAAATATAATAAATTAATCATTGCAATACATACTTATATTAGCACCTAAGTTTTTTGAAATACTTATCTGATAATGTTATCTATAAAATTATTTCAAACCAATTAATGATACGATTTATAACTTTTTTAAAGACGTCTTTATTAATGTCCTTGTTGGGAGAGATTCCTGTAACTTCTGGTAATGTGTCATTGAATGGAAAGATCGCTTATGCTTCTCAAGATGCCTGGGGATTCAACGAAACTATTAGAGAAAATATCTTGTTTGGTGAAGAATACGAAGAAGATAAATATGGAAAAGTTTTGTATATAACAGCTCTAGAAAAGGTAATTCTATTTTCTTTTGAAGACTTTTAAAAAAACTTTTCATTATTTATGTCAAGTGAAAAAAAATGTTTGCTCTTTTTTACAAATTTTCATTATGATGAAACTAGCTGGGATACCCGGCTTCGCTCAGGGAGTTCATATGAGCTTGTGTGGTAGTTAAAATAAAAGGATAAATATTGAAATATAAGAGGTACAATATGTTTTCAATAAAATTTTAAAAACTATTTGCAATACTTGTTTATAAACAACATTTTGCTCAAAACCTTTTACAAATAGGCGAAGGCACATAATCCACTGACCAGACAATTGGCCTCCTTGAACTCAATTGTGATTTTTGCATCATAGCCACTACTGAAAACGAACTCATCGACCAAATTTACCAAACATTATTAACAACTATACCAGTAGGTACTTTTTACATAGGTCTAAAAATATCTTCGATTTCCAGCAAAAAAGCAAAAAACCGCATCTGCGCCTGTAAATCTTGCACGTTGCTTTCTCTTAACACTTCAATTGTTACTTAACCACTTCCATTGTTTATAACCTTTCCCTGCGGGGAGAATTTCGAAAAATTCCTTCTTAGTGTACGTTCTCATGACGCACCCTAACTGTGTACCAAATTTCAGCCTTCAACTCCTAACTGTTTAAGCTCTGCGCTTCTTATTATTATTCGGAGTGGCTATTTCAAAGGGCAATTTTGGCAACTAAAAATAATTTTGTCGACGATATCAACTTTATTATTGAAAAGAAAATTCAGAACTGGCAAGAGCTTTTCTTTTTTTAAGTTTGGGCATTGTATAAAATATAAATAAAATCAACTTTTTTTTTAACGAAAACACTAAGTAAACTTTATACAGTTTTCACACTTCATTTTCGATTTATATCCAGTCACCGTATCACTTTGACTACTCACACTTCACTGTTTGTTTTTATTTACTCACTGCATTACTTTGGAATTTTCACTTTTTTTTGGTTCTTCCGTTCGTCACTGATAAGAAACTGAGTTCGAACCAACAACGGATCTTGCTTTATACACCCTTCTCCAATGGGTAGTCCCACCCATACAAAAAAGACTTCGAATGGTCCACAATGTTCCAGAATATTCCACAACATTCGAGAGTGTTCTGGAATGTTTGACAATAATCTGGGATGTTGTGGAACATCCCAGAACATTGTGGAATGTTCTGGAATACTCTCGAATAATTTCGAATGCTGTGGACTGTTCTAGAAATTTCTACAGGGCGAAACTTCCAGCCTTTATATTTTCAACAGCACTCCCTTCAGGTAAAAACGGGAACCTTCTTCATGGATGGGGATACAGGGATACCACACTATATAACCCCCTTGATTCTACCGGAACGCGTTTTTGAATTTTAGTGGCATGCACACTGTACACTTAACTTTATAGTATATATTGATGATTACAATATAATTGAATATAATTCGACAATTAATCATAATACAGTAGATCCCCCTATAAAACGGGTTCATATTGTTCGGATTCCTTATGACGGCGAAAAAATTGCGACTATATTTGTACAGACACGCTAAAAAACTCGTATAATTCGGTCAAACGTCATCGCCGACTCGTGTCGCGCGAGGACTGGTCGAATCTAGACTAATAGAAAATATTGTACACACCGTTAAGTTTAAACGAGCAGCAAATCTACTAAAAACCATTTATTATTTAACGTCCATCAAAATTCTATTTATATTAATGATGTCTCCAAAGTTCAGCGAACTTTTCGCAAAAAAAATAAATTATTAGGAAGCACGCGAGCGCCATTCGATGACACGCTCCACGATGAAAACAAGCTTAAGCAATGGCGTCGTTGAACGGTGCACACTCAGTAAGTAATCCTACAATTTTTTGTTTATATTATAGTTTATATGGATTATTCCCCCAAAAATTATACGTATTTTGGAAATGTTGAGTCGAATTAGTATAGAATCGATTAATTTTATGGAAGAAAACCTTTCAAACAGCATAGTCCGTAGACTGCGTACGTGCCGGGCTGTGATTGGCTCATGTATTTATGGACTCGTATAAAATGGATTCATAAAAATTGGAGCGTATTTACCGCGTTATAGTAGGGGTCGACTGTATATTATATTTTATTAGTAATATAGATCAATGCACTGTGTTTAAAATAAAATTTTAATTTTTTAGTTTAGTGATATTAGTAACTGTAAATGATACTTTTTCTTTGTATATTTTAGTGTAAATTTTGATAAATATTTGCATACATTTACATCATAAACAATAACGCAGTAACGTTATAAGCGTTATAAGTACATAATGTAATAATAATAATAATCGTATTTATGATTTCAATGTATAGTAATAATCGTATTAGTAATAATCGTAATGTCATTNTTCAATGTATACTGGGTAATAATCGTAATGTCCTTTAAAATAAATAATAAAATTTTTCCAAACTAATGAAATATTTTTTCTCTTTATAGCAATTCCACTGATATAAAATTGCACAGTTGTTATAAGGAAACTTTGTTTAAAAGTTATACAGATTAAGTTTTACAGTATGAAACACCATTATTCTCTCTACCATTTCAGAATATATTTTCGTTAGGCCTAAAATCTAACGCTACATGTTAAATAGTTTTGTTTATTATATAATATTTAACATTAATACATTGGTATTAATGTTAAATTACCTGCATAATACATTGGTAGATTGGCACCTGATCTCGTGGGTTTGTTTTTGTGCAATGAAAGGAGAAGTTTAAAAATCCGAAAAATTTTGACATAAAATATAGCAGTTATAAATAAAATCAGTAATTTGTTAAAAGTTGGTAAACATTTTGCTAGAAAATGATTAAATAATTTAATTGCAAATGTTAGCTCTATAGCAAGCACTTTCACAATTTAGAATTAAAATTTATATCGTTTATTGTGTATCCCTGCAGGTTGCTTACATATTAGTTATTATTTCTTGAATTTAGTACAAAAATTACTCTTTAATTCTTTATTGCCGAATAATGCACGCTATATTAAAAAAGAAGAAAAATCAAATTGTTTATCTATGTTAATAAATATTAATTGATTTATGTTTCCTAATGTTTAATTAAATTATACAGTAGACCCCCGTATAACACGGGTTCCTATAGTTCAGATTCCGATATCACGGCGAAAAAATTGCGACAGTATTCGTACAAACATGCTAAAAAAACTCCTATAATTTGGTAAAACGTCATCGCGACTCGTGTCGTGACAGGATTGGTGGAATCTGGACCAATAGAGGACGGGCAGCCGAACTAGTTTCCGCCGTCCAGAGCCACGCTATGGACAGTTTGGCGAGTAAGTTGAGTTTACTATCGTCTGTACAGTATATAAATTAGGTACTTAAATTATACAAAATTAACAAATTAACTAATAAATTAATTAATGAGATATCAATAAAATTAATGAATTAAACAAAAGTTTAATAGGTAGAAAATATGTAATGATAAATTTTTATACATTTTCTATGAAAAAAACATTTCTTATTCAACGGCCATTAAAATTATTTCTATTAATGATGTCTCCAAAGTTCAGCGAATTTTTCGCAGAAAAATAACTTATCAGAAAACTTTCGTCATTCGGGACATTCCAATTTTGAACGCTGACTCAACACTGATCTTAACATTCATTAATTAAAAGTAGTTTCTTTTTTCAATGTGGAAGTGGTGCTGTTATCAGCGCTGTCTCAACACACTCAGCACTCAACAGATATGTTGACTGCTACTTTCCAATGAATTGTGGATTATTGGTAAGACATTTGAATGGAATCCATCTTTCTGAGAATAGAATTATGGGAACTAAGCACTTCGTACTCGAGTTGGAACGTCGTTGATGACGTCAAATTGTTGACTTCAACATTCAACACTCGCGTTGAGAATTGGAATGTCCCGATTGCTTAAGCTTATTTTCGTCGCGGAGCTCCGCTCTGCGACGAAAACAAGCTTAAGCAACGATGTCTCGAACGGTACACACACGATAAGTGATCCTACAATTTCTTGTGTATAGCATAGTTTATATGGATTATTCCCAAAAAATTATACGTATTTTTTGAAATGTTGAGTCAAATTAGTCTAGAATCGATTAATTTTATGGAAGAAAAATTTTCAAACAGTCATAGTCCCTAAACTGCATACGTGTCGGGCTGTGATTGGCTCATGTATTTAAGTGACTCGTACAACACGGAAATCACATAACACGGAACGTATCTACTGTGTTATAGGGGGGTCGACTGTACGTTAAAGTTATGATTTGTTCGAATATAGTGGTCAACGCTTATTACGTAAATGATAATTATAATATACTTTTATTTATTTTAGGATATAAGTTTACTTCCTAAAGGAGATCTGACAATTGTAGGAGAAAGAGGAATGATAATGAGTGGTGGGCAAAAGGCAAGAATTAACTTAGCAAGGTAATAAAGCCCTTACTGTAATGTATTTTTATGAGTACAAAATAGCATTACGTACATATTAATGGCTATATGGCAAAATAACTGTAAAAGATTTTAGTTATGCATAAATATATTGCTATTAAAGTAAAAATTACATACAGACAAACAACAAACATTCTCAAAAATTCCCAAATTGAGATAACGACTATTACGCAGGATTACGAAATTTTAAAGAATTATCTAAATTTCAAAAATCTTTATTACTTTTTAACGTGATTTTGATGATGTATATTCTATATATATATATAAAGTCACTTTAATCCAAAATATTTTTGGTTGTGTCTCACAGCACAATGGAATTCAGGATAGTAAGACACATTATTAAGTTGAAATTTTCAAAGACGATAAAATTTACCTTAGTTGTTTTTTAAGAGAAGAGCTTACACCCAACACCTTGAAATTGTTGTGAGACTGTGAAAGGAAAAGCTTTTGGATTNTAACAGTATAATTTAACATTTTACTTTACATGATTGTATAATAAGAAACACAATAAAAAAAATTAATTAGTAAGTCATCATGACTTTACAATATAACATTAATTGATGTTTTAAATAACTTAGAGAGAATATAAATTATCTTTATAATACATTTTCTAAGATTTAGGTAGTAATGATAAGCCCGTAGTTAAGTTTTACATAAAATTTTTTCAGAATATTTTACAAAAAAATTAAAAATTTTATAAGCATCTTTTTTATTAATATTGTTTAATTTATTTTTGAAGTCGGTAGGTGAATTTAAACAACAAATATCTTTGATATTGCATTGTTCACGTATACTATCCAAGGGTTGACAATTTTGCAGGAGGTGAAGCACAGAAAAATCCTCTTGTTGACATAGCAGGCAGCGTGTATTTAAAAGATTTATATAAGTATTATTAATAAGAATCGAATATTTATTTAGGCGTAGTTGAATTATTAATCGTTTTACATTCAGATCTAGTGGTAGCCATATATAGGGTTGGAAGGAAGGGATATTTAAAATATTGTTGTACCAAGGGTGATAATTACTTTGGTTTAAAGAAAGTTGATCTTTATTGATTGATTGAGCAATAGCAGAATCCATCAGTAGAGAGTAACCATATTTCCAATCTTGAATTGAGTCTGTAAATAATAGTTCCAATGCTCCAAAAGTGTTTAATATTCTTCGAAATTTGTATTGCCATAACTGTTTATTATTGTTGTTTTTACTTTGTTTAACCATTTCTTGATATAATAATCTAGTATTTTCATCGCTTTTATATTTAAGTCTGTAATAAAATTTTATAATTCTTTTTAATAACTGAGGAAAGATCCAAGTACGTGATGTTTCGTGTCGAATGGCATATCCAGGTATGGTTTTTTCTAGTTGTAGTAATTTATGTAGGAAGTAAATATGCAGAGATTCGAGACTGTAGATGTAATTCAAACTCCAAATTGGGCTGGCGTAATAAATGATAGGACTTATTGTAGTATTATAGAGTTTAAGATGAATGTTTAAATTTGATGTTTTCATTGTTGAACATAAAAATAAGAGGTTATCGATTGCCTTTTTAACCCTAACATTTAATTTTAACACTTGATATTTAAAGGTTAAGTTCCAATCAAATTCCACTCCCAAATATTTGACTTCATTGGTTATTTGCAGTAGAGTATTTTCATGATAAATTTTCGAGTCCTTATCAGCTAGTTTTTTATTTTTACGAAAAATGACAGTATTAGTTTTTGTAGGATTTATTTCAAGATAAATTGAGTTGAGATATTGGTTGAGTTGATTGATTTTGCGTTGCAAAGATATTTTATTGGGAGCTAAAATAACTAGATCATCGGCAAAAAGGATATAATGAAAGGAGGTATTATTTATTTCAATGCTATCTGAGGAGTTATTAAAAAGTTGGTCAATGTCCCTTAGATAAAAGTTAAATAGATATGGTGACAGTGGGTCTCCTTGAAGTACTCCACGTGAAAGATTTAGAGGCAGAGATATCGAATTTCCTTGTTTAATTCTTATAGTATAATTTCCATATAACTTTTTTATTATAGATGTGAATTTAACGCTTGCACCACTAGCTTTTAATTTGTTTATTAATAAAGGTGTATGAATTGAATCAAAAGCTTTTTTAATGTCAATAAATGCGGCATAAACTTTTCTATGTTTTTTTATAAGATGCAATTGAATTATCATTAGTAAAATAAATATGGCAGATTCTGTTCCTTTATTTTTTTTGAAGGCGTATTGAAATTTAGCTTCTAATTCGTTAATTTTAGTCCATTGTTGAAATCTATTTGCTATCATGGAGGTAAAACATTTTCTTAGCGTTGATAGTAGTGCAATAGGTCTATAGTTATTTAGAGATGATTTATCACCCTTTTTATATATCATGGTTAAATTAACTGTATTCCAGGAGTCAGGAAAAGTAGATGTTTTGTACATAACGTTAAAAAGATGAAGTAATTTTGATCTATAACTGTTAGACATTAATTTTAAAAATTTCGTAGGAATATTATCATGACCTGGAGTTGTGTGGGTTTTGGTTTTTTGAATTGCGTCATTTAATTCGTCAATTGTGAAGTCGGCATCCAGGTGTTCGTCGTAAGCTTTTGTGTTATTTGTTATTGGAGGTTTTAAATAAATACTTGGATAACGTTGAAAAAAATTTTTCCAGGTATCAAAATCGATAATTGGAGAGGTTTCGTTTATACAAGGTTTTGGTCGATATCTCCTTACAATAGACCAAAAAAATTTGTTATCCTTATTACATTGAATTAGATTTAATTCAAGCTTTCTAAAGTAATTTTTCTTTTTTGTCTTAATTAAGTTGTTATACATTCGTTTAGCTTCCTTGTATTTGTTAAAGTTGATTTCATTTGAATTTTTTCTGAACATTTTTAATTTTGTTAATTTTTCCTTTTTCGTTTTGTAGCAGTCGTAATCGAACCATCCCTGTCCAAATTCTTTGTGAAATTTCTTTCTGTCACTATCCACAATTATGTAATTATTCATTATATTTATCATTAAGTTATATATTTCTTCACTGTTGCATTCTGTAATTTTCGGGATGTTATCTAATCGGTTTTCAAATTCATTGGCGTATCTATTTGATTTATATTGTATAATTGTTTTTTTATTTAAGGTGTTTTTAGAATTTTTTCCCAAAAATAGTAAAAAGGTTGCTTTTGTTGGAAGATGATCCGAAATATCAAAATCAAGAACTTCGAAATTCGAGCAATAATCCAATAACAATTCTGAACATATCGTATAATCTATAGTTGATCTTCCATTGTGAGTTAGGCAAGTATATTCTGCAGGAATATCGTTCTTAAATCGTCCATTAATTATATACATTTTGAGGTTTTTTATTACTTCGATTAACTTTTGACCGAGGCTATTTAAGTGCTTATCTTTTGATTGTCGGTTATTTTGTATTAAAAAGTTGTTACCAGTATATTTGGAGTCCATTTTCTCTGCAATTCTCGCGTTGAAGTCACCCACTATTATGGAGTAAGGAGTCGTATATTGCCAAAGTTCTATTTGTTTAGATATTTCGTTCAATGTTGATATGTCTTCAGGTGGAATGTATGTGAGCATCAGAGTTATTAGGTTATTCATAGTGTTAATAAGAGTTGGTTTCATCAATTGGATGAGGAGCAGAATGAAGTTATTAGATTTTTTAGACTGTAGAATTTTACAAAGACCTTTTTTTATTAATAAGCAAAGACCTCCGCTAGGACGGCCTGGTCCTATTGGTTTTTTTGCTAAAGTTGATTCTGCTGTAAAATTTTCAAAGAGGTTTGAGTTGTAGATTGATTCTGAAGTTATCCAAGTTTCGGTTATTGCAATAATATCCGGATCCAATAATTTATTTATTAACAGTTATTAAATTAAATTAAATATTTTATTTATATAATAAAAAGTTATGAATTAAACTTGAATAAAACTTGACTTAAATCCTAATAAATTGCATTAAAATTACCATCATTATAACAATTTAAATGTGATCTGTAATCTTGCAAATTTTATGTAAGTAAATCATCATAAACTAAAACACTGATTACTTGAAAAAATTTCTTAAATTTATAGTACTGTAGTTTCTTAAATAATTAAAATTCAAATGTAAATTAGTAAAACATACTAACATTTTTTAGTGTAACTATTATATGTAAATTCCATTGAAGAATTTATCACCATTCTGCAGATATAATGATAAAATATATTAAAGTATTATTTCTAATTGTTAGATTATAACTTTGAATCCTATTTCTGATGTGGAAATTGTTAATTATTTAACATTAAATTTTTAATATATAATTTATTGTTAATATTTTTTTTATATAAGATAGATGTCTACAATGAACATTCAAAGTGATTTTATGATTTATAACTTTAATGAAGGTTTTGCAGATTTAAATGGTACTCTAAAGTCTGTTGTTCTCTAGTGTGCTGACATAAAAACAATAACAAAATTTTCAAACTTACATTTATAATAAAACATAATAAATTATGGGAAGATGATTATCTTTAAAATCATAAGTAAAATCATGAAAAAGCAATCATAAATACTTTCATCAAAAAGACTTATTTAATAAAATGCTTACACATGAAATTTAAAAAATTATATGAAATAAAATTAATATAAATATTTAAAATAAATTTATTGTTTATAATATTACATTGCAAACATTATTAGAACATAATAATACAAATAATATATTGCAAGAAGAAAAAAACCAAGCAAAAGTTTGATAAATATTAATCAGGATAGATACAATGCACTTTATTCTACTTATTTCTATAGAAGATAAAGCAATAATATCATTGTACAGTATATCTTCAATGAAAATACTTTAGAATAGCAAATAAAGAGGAAATGTAAATATTCAGCATTCGACAAACAGCAAATGTATGGATCCACCCTAATATTTTCCATTATCCATTAACTCTTTTCAGACACCTGGTATCATCAATATTTTTTTTTTATATTGTGTTCTCGTGTTATTTATCAAGAATTATTATTACACCGATTCATTGCACATTATGCTCATTCAATAAGCAGATCATCCAATGAGAAAATTTTAACACACATTATTCATCTCCAATTTCTTTTTTTGAAATATCAATTATCTTGACAAGAATTATAAACAGAACCAAAAACATTTCACAATCAAAGTTTACACAGAAAACTATAATTAATTAAACATTGTACTAATGAGTACTTCATACTAACCACTCAGTATCAAGTGTACTAGTTTAAAATATGTTATTACCTTAAGTTTAATATTCACTCTGTTAACTAAAACCAACATCTGAAATTCTATATATTTTGAATAATAAACATTTTGGAATTTCAGACTAATTACCTTTCAATATTTCATACTTTTGAACATAAACTGTTTGAACACGTGTAATTACTAATAAAATTATAACAGCTTTCAATTACATAATAATCAATTACATTCAAAATAACCTGTCAGATGCCATATGACGTTACTCGCCGGATTATTTTTATTCTCGGGATAAAGTGACCTTTCGATAACTCGTAAACAACTCACGTTCACACTAAATAAAGAAAATACGCAAATAAATCTCACTCACCGTTACTTTTATTATTGAAAATAGAAAAATATATTAACATTGTCCATTTACTTATTTTCAAATAATAGCGACTATACCGCCGCCATTTTAATTGGTTCATAAAATCGATCGATATAGGAAAATTATATACAATATATGTATATTAATATACATTTTCGATGGTCCGGAGAAAATTATTAATATATATTTATTGAAAATAAATATTATTTTTATAAATATTAGTAAAAATGTCTAATTTAAAATTTTAATCGTTGTGAGAAGTTACGACCGGAGTTGAAAATAATTCTAAAATTAGAAAAATTCTGGATAAATAAACTTTGTTTTCCTTTTATTATATGTAAC